GTGTGTGTGTGTGTGTGTGTGTGTGTGTGTGTGTGTGTGTGTGTGTGTGTGAGTGATTGTGAAAAAAGAAAAAGCTTGGAACAGTTTCTGTGGAAGAATGAATTTAGGAGGCAAGAAGCAGAGTATAGCTTTTAAGGAGCAGTGAGTGTGCATTGTTAAGGTTCTGTACTTTAAATGTATAGAGGGTGAAATCATGAGTTCAGTAATCTAGGGAAACATCACACTAGGTGATGAGGGCAGGACTCTCCCTTTGGTTGTATCTAAACAAAGCTATTCAGTAAGCCCCATACCCATACAACTCATTCATTCAATAAGCATTTATTAAGAGTCTATGGGGGAAGAAGCTGGGCCCTAGCGCTGGCAGGAAAATGCCTCAATTTACAGAGGAAGAAACCGAAGCACAAAAATGGGAGGAGATTTGCCCAAGGTCGCACAGATAGAAAGCTGGAATTCAACAAGCGGTTGTTGAAGGCAGCTAGGAGGTGCAGTAGATGGAACACTAGATCTGGAGGCAAGAAGACTTGAGTTCAGATCTGACCTCAGAAGTGTGACCCTGGACAAACCACTTAATCTCTGTCTGCTTCTGTTTTTTCCACTTTAAAATGGGGACAATAACAACACCTGCCTCCCAGGGTTACGAGATTAAATGAGATCACATTTATCAAGAGCTATATAGATGCTATCTATTAGCACTTGTAAGGGTTTTTTGCACCGGGCTGAGGATAAAAGGACAGCCCCAACCTGCTCTCTAAACCCCGGATCCAGCTCTTCTTCCACTGTTTGGGGCAGCTTCTCAAACATTCAACAAACATTAAGGAGAAAAGTGGATTCGGGGCAAAGTGTCATCTATGAGCTCTGGGTCTGGGAGTCAGGCTGAGGACCTAGGTTCGAGTTCCCACTGTGCGAGGAACAACTTCTGTGACAAGTCGCTTCGCCTCTCTGGGACTCAGTTTCTTCGACGGCAAATGGGGGAGGGTTGCACCGGATGGCCTCTGAAGTCCCTGCCAGCTCTGAGCGCTGAATGTGGAGTCGGAGTTCCTGCCGGACCTCAGTCTTCCCAGCTGTAAAATGGGCGGGCCGCTGCGGGGTCTGCCCCGGCTCCCGGGCCTCGCACATTCTTCCGGCCAAAGCGGCGGCGGCGTCCAGGACGTCTGTCCCGGGCCGGCTCGGGAATAAAGCGCCCCCGCCCCGCCCCCGACTCACCAGCCCTGACCCGGCCAGTCTGTCCCGGTGCCCAGCCAGCTTTTCTCTGCAACGCTCAGCTCCGCTCAGCTCTCTCGACGGAAGCCCCCGAGGGCTCCACGCGCGGGGGACACTGGGACTCCAGGTCCTTGCGCCGCTTCTCTCCTGGGAGACGGGCGATACTCTGGACTACAACTCCCAGGGTGCCTCGCGCCGAGCTTAGGGCCAGTCTCGGGCCAAGTGACAGCAGCCTCAGCCTACCAGCGGAGAGAATTCTCCTTTCGCCTGTCAAGCTCACCAATTGTAGGCGACCTGTTTAGTTATTGGTTGGGGAGAGGGCGGCGCGATGGTGTCAGATGCTTAAACTACAGCATCCCCTGGGAGCCGTCATCCAGTCTGTGCAATAACTGGGAGTTGTCGATAGGTAACCCATTCCACTCTTTGGAAATCTCTTCTTGTTAGGATGTTTTTTGTTTTCCTGACACCGCGCTTACATTTGACTCTTTACATATCTATTCATTCATTGCCCCTAGTTCTGCCCTCTGCAAGCAGAGAGAACAAGCTGACCCCTCTTCCCATGACCCATCTTTATGTATTGGAAGACAGCTGTCCTGTACCCATTGTTCTCCCTGCAAGCCATCAAGTCAAGTCAACAAACAAGAATTTTTTTTAGAAAAGTAAATGTGTTTATTAGTAATATTAATAATAGCTAATTCATATCACTTTAAGATTTACAAAACACTTTACATATATTATCTCATTTGATTTCTTTTTTAAAAATTATTTATTTTTAACATTTAAAAAAAAAATTTGAGCTCCAAATTCTTTCCCTCCCACCCCTCCTTTACCTACTGAGAAGGCAAGCAATATGATATCAGTTATACATTTGAAATCATGCAAAATATATTTCCAAATTAGTCACATTAAAAAAAGCAAGAAAAATAAAGAGAAAATTATACTTCTTCAGCTTGCACTTACAGTTCATTAGTTCTTTCTGGAGGTGGATAGCATTTTTTCATCATGAGTCCTTTGGCAATATCTGTATTGTATTGATCAGAATATCCAAGTCTTTTACAGTTGATCATCATTACAACATTGTTACTGAGCACAATGATCTATCTCCTGGTTCTTTTCACTTCACTTTGTATCAGTTCATGTAAGTCCTGCTATGTTTTTCTGAACCACCCCCCCTGCCCCCCCAGCCCTGGTCCTCTCTTATATCATAATAGTACTTTATCACAAACATGTGAAGACATCCCCTCTCCCAGAATGGGCAGATGAGAACAATTTGTTCCAATGGGCCATGAAGGCAGCTGAAGCAGGAATTGTGGAGTGCCTAGAGCTTAGTCAGACAATGAAGATGCTAAGGTCATCCACTGCATCGCTGGCTATCACCAGTCATCCTGATTTCTGTCTTGCCACTGGACTTCAGTGACTCTGGAAGAGAGAGTGAGGCTGATGACTTTGTACAACTCTGCCTCACTTAAATATGCACAAGTCAAAAGACATCACCCAAACCATTTTATCATTTTTATCTACCTCAAAGTCCTGTGGCAACTGGCAAGTGAAGAAGCAGCAGATGCGGATACACTGGGAGCTGTAGCCACAACACCGCACACAGGTGGCCCAGGCTATAGGGTCAACTTCTTACTGGAAGCAGCAGTGGGATTCAGCAGCCCCTTGGGTGTCTAAGCAAACTTTTAAGGATTGCACTGCTCACCTCTTGCTGTGAGGAAGGGTCTAGAAAAGATGCCCTAAAAATTGTCTGCTGCAGACCTAATCCTGGTCTGCTTACCATGGCCAGGAGAGATCATACCATGCAGTTGAAACACACAAAAAAAACGTACAAAAACTTTTGCAAACATGATTCTACTCACATCGGTACATGGAATGTGGGCACACTTATGGACAATACGAAATCCAGTAGACCTGAAAGACAAACTAGCTCCTGTTTTGAGAGAACTAAGTAGGTATCACATTCAAATAGCAGCCCTGAGTGGTACAAGGCTGGCAAACGGAGGTCAAGTTACTGAAGTCATAGCTGGATACACATTTTTCTGGAGTGGTCACAGGGATGGGGAGCGCCATGAAGCTGGCATAGGTTTTGCAATCAAAAATAATCTAGTCAATAAGCTTGTATGCCTCCCAAAAGGAGCAAAAAACAGACTCATTACAATAGGAATGCCACTGGCAGGAAAGTACTATGTCACTATCATCAGTGTGCGTATGCTTCCTCCATGGTGAACCCTGATGAGGACAAAGAAAAAAAATTATGAAGACTTAGAGACCCTCATCATCAATGTGCTAAAAGAGGACAAGCTTATAATTCTGGGTGACTTTAATGCAAGAAGAGGTATACACGACCAGACACGATAGGGAGTCTTTGGCAGGAATGAAGTCAGAAAGAGCAACAGCAATGGTCACTTACTAGCGAATCCTTGTGTGTCTCATGACCTCATCACCAGCACTGTCTTCCACTTGCCTAAATGCAATAAAAGTTTGTGAATGCACCCTCTCAGCAAACATTGGCATTTAAGAGCCTGTGTCATTGTAAGGAGATGAGACAGGATGTGAGAGTGACGAAGGTGATGTGTGGTGCAGAGCACCGGACTGATCGTAGTCTTATCCTGTCCAACCTAAATATTTGCATTCAACAAAAGCAGCAGCTCCAAGACAACATGACTACCAGAAGACAATGTCAACAGATTAGAGCACTTCTTCCTGCATGAACAGTTTGTTTTTCATTGGGAGGGAAAGCTGAGCCAACACATGGTTGGCAACAGTGGAGCAGAAAAGAAGTGGGCAGCTTTCAGAGATCTGGTGTATAACACAGTATTTACTTAACTGGGTCAGAACACTTGCAAGGACCAAGATTTGTTTGATGAAAATGATAGGGAAAGTCAGAATCTGCAAGATGAAAAAAAAAAATGAGAACTCCACAAGGTTTACCAGCAAGATAGTTCATCCATCTCTAAGAAGGCAGCATTTAACACCATCAAAAGGAAGGTACAAGGGCAACTAGGTGGCGCAGTGGATAGAGCACTGGCCTTAGAGTCAGGAGGACCTGAGTTCAAATCCGGCCTCAGACACTTGACACTTAAAAGCTGTGTGACCCTGGGCAAGTCACTTAACCCCGATTGCCTCACCAAAAAAAAAAGAAAGAAAAACTACAACAACAATGAACAAAAGCAAGGTACAAGTGAAGCTTAGAGAGATGCAGGATTCTTGGCTCAGTAAGAAGGCAGATGAAATTCAGTTTTACGCTGATAATAACAATCCAAAGCACTTTTACAATGCCCTGAAGGCTATTTATGGGCCAAAGACCTATGGTGCATCTCAACTACTCAGCACATGTTGATTAGTGATAAGGACATGATCCTAGAGAGATGGGTTGAACACTTCCATAGTATTTTCAACAGACCATCATCAACCACTGCTGAAGCCATTGACGGCATACCTCAGTTTGAAGTCAATCCCTCTCTAGCTGAACTTGAAACTGAAGAAGAGGTTTTGGATGCCATTAAGCTCCTTTCATGTGGCAAAGTGCCTGGTGCTGATTCTGTTCCAGCTGAGATTTACAAGGCAGGGGGTCCACTGCTGCTACAAAAGCTGACTGAAATTTTCTGGGTTATATGGCAAGAGGCGGTTATCCCCCAGGAGTTCAAGGATACCTCCATTGTCCACCTCTATAAAGGTAAAGAAAATAGGTTGTTCTGTGACAACCATGTGGTGGGGGTGGTCTCTCTCCTAGTCACTGCTGGCAAGATTCTTGCCAGTGTCCTCCATAATAGGCTAATCCTAGGGGCAACTAGGTGGCACAGTAGATGGAGCTCTGGCCTTGGAGTCAGGAGGAACTGAGTTCAAATCCGGCCTCAGACACTTGAAACTTACTAGCTGTGTGACCCTGGGCAAGTTACTTAACCCTGATTGCTTCACCAAAGAAAAAAAATAGGCTGATCCTTCATCTGGAGGATGGTCATCTACAAGAAAGCCAGTGTGACTTCAGAAAGGGCCAAGGAACAGTTGATAAGTTTGCTGCCCAACTCCAGGAGAAATGCCAGGAGCAAAACAGAGGTCTGTACACCATGTTCACTGATCTGACCAAGGACTTTGATAAGCATGAGGGCTTTTGGAAAATTATGGCAAAATTTGATTGCTTGGAGAAGTTCATCAGTATTACACAGCAGTTTCATGATGGCATGCCTTCATGGGTTCTGGATAATGGATGATGCTCTCATGCTTTCCCAGTCAGCAATGGAGTGAAGCAGGGCTGCGTGCTTGCTCCCATGCTTTTTTTAGCATGATGTTTTCAGCAACGTTGTCAGATGCTTTCAACAAGGACGAAAATGGCATCAAGGTCTGATACTGCACTGACGGTAAATTATTTAACTTGAAAAGGCTATAAGCCAAGTCTAAAGTGGAGGGAGAATTAGTATGTGACATTTTGTTCACAGATGATTGTGCATTCAATGCAGCCTCTGAGGCTGAGATGCAGCAAAGTATGGCTCAGTTCTCTGCTGCTTGTGCTAATTTTGGCCTAACAATTAACACTAAGGAAACACAGGTTCTCCACTAGCCAGTACCACAACATACATGTGTGGAACCATCAGTTACAGCAAATTGAGAAATTCTGAATGCTATGGATAAGTTCACTTACCTTGGCAGTATACTTTCCAGGGATGTACGCATAGATGATGAGGTTGATGCACACATTGCCAGAACTATCTCAGTGTTTTGGAGGCTCCAAAAGAAAGTGTGGGAGAGAAGAGGCATTAGACTGATTACCAAACTGAAGGTCTGCAGAGCTGTTGTTCTGACTCAGTGACATGCCAGGAAACTGAATCATTTCCATTTGAATTGTCTTAGGAAGATTCTGAAGATCACCTGGCAAGATAAAGTAGCCAACATTGATGCCCTTTTTCAAGCTAAACTGCCAAGTATTCAAACTCTACTGCAAAGAGCACAACTACAATGGGCTGGCCACATTGTTCGAATGCCAAACATATGTTTGTCTAAAAGACTATTTTACGAAGAACTCATACAAGGCAAGCACTCACATGGAGATCAGAAGAAACGACACAAGGACACTCTCAAGGTCTCTCTGA